AGGTTATACTTTTTTTTACATTTTTAATTAAAATATAATCACACCACTTGTCTCTTTCCCTTTCCTCTCTCAACCACTCCCATGCTCTCACCATTTCAAATTGGTAGCCTCTTTTTCTTTGATTATTATTGATATATATAAAAATATGGGCAAATATATAAATACATTGAGCCCATGGATTCAGGGCCAACTGCTTTGTACTGAAGACCATTACAGAAAATGACAAACAAACACAACACAAAGACCAATGGACTGCATGGATCCTCACCCCAACTGATTTATCGGCAGCACAGCTCCTGCTCGGGGAACGCCACAGAGAAGAGGGTGGAATGGAAGAGCCAGAATACTAGGAGGTCTGCTGTGAGACTTCCTCTCTTAGAAATAGCTGCATAAACAAGACCTGAACAATGGCTCAAGAACAGTCTGGGCAGTTGCAGCAAGCAGCAGGCATCCCTCATTCTCATCCTAGAGATACACAGAAAACCAACCATAGGAAGTCCCAAGTCAGGCAGGGGCATCATTCTGATGAGGAGTCAGCAGAATATATGGGCACTTATGGTCTTCCTGTGCCTTCTATTCCATCACAATGTATACTCACGATACTGGCTGGTCTCTGAAAGGCCGATTCCAAACTGAAGTCACTACAGTACTGCAAATGCTCCTACAGAGCTGGGGCAAGCTTGTGTCATATCATCTCCTTGACCATTAGATGCCTTTAGGCCCAGGGTGGTCTCTAAGGAACTTCCTAAGTGTGCCTGTATGCTTTGAATGCACAGCAAGGTGAGAGGAACCCCGTTTCTGTGAGCCATTTGAGACTAAGCTGCTGAGACCACCCCACTACTACTACACACCCACCAAACCTGGGAAATTTATCTCTTGTTGTTGTTGTTGTTGTTGTTGTTGTTGTTGTTGTTGTTGTTGTTGTTGTTGTTGTTGTTGTTGTTGTTGTTGTTGTTGTTGTTGTTGTTGTTCTTCTTCTTCTTCTTCTTCATCATCATCATCATCATCATCATCATCATCTAACTTGGGACCTCACTCAAGGTGTGCTATTCAGAACCTGGTTTTCTATGTCTAAAATGAGGAAAGTATTGTCTCTAAACTGTTCCCAACATTCCATAATGCTAACTTGGAGACAGTCTCCAATCTATTGCACAGAGAGGCCTGCCACTCGACTCTATGAAGACAAACAAGTCAGTCAGTCAGAGCTAAAGTGTACTCTAGATCTCCTGTTGTTCTTAGGGGATCCCAGGGCCATTCTCACGCCAGGGTCAAATTGCAATGTCAAGGCCAGAAGTAGCCTGGGCTGGCTCGTTGCTGAGCTCAGAGCTATGCCAGGCCACTGCCTGCAGAAACACCCTTGACAAGCCATCACTCCTTGTTCTGCATGGTAGCATTTTCTTGACTGTTGGTGACCAGGAGTCGAACATGAAAGGAGATCCAGCAGATATAAACGTTTTGCCCTCATGAAAGAAAATACAAGATCAGATTGTTTTACTCAATTACAAATCACTGAAAGGAAAGAGTGTTAATGCTTTCAAAGACCTGTTTCTGTCAAATGTACCATTGCCTTCAATCAGCTCGAAGAAACACTGTAGGCAACAAGACTTTAAGTCTCCAAGGCACACAGACAGCCACATGGAGCCACTGTCTCCTCCCCTCACAGATAGAAGCTCTAGTTTATAGTACTATGGCTCTGTGGGTGATTCCTCTGCAATTTACTCCACAGTAGGCATGGAAGTCCTACCATGGACCTCCGCTTCTGGTGGACTCCTATAGCAGATAAATTCCACATGGATGACAGCATGCAGTACAAGAAGCTAAGTTGGGGTGAGCAGCCATGCAGTCCACTGGTTTATTACAAGAGACACCTGGGAGACAGTAGGGGCTACAGAAAGCACCTTCACTTTTCTCTGGCCTACAAACTGGTGGACGGCAGGCTGTGGAGGGAGAAGCTATCGCACATGGAGATCAGTTGTGGAGGTGTCTCCTCTTCTTTCTGGACACTGCTTCAATGGGAAACGTGTTAGGACCACAAGGTCCTACTTTGTTCCAATAGCAAAGGCAATCATGATTGTTACGTCAACACACACACACACACACACACACTGCAGCCACAACAAAATACTAAAAATGGGGGCCAAGCCAGTGATTTAGCTCAATGGTTAAGTGTGCCTGCTATCAAATTTGAAGCCCTGATGAGTTCAATCCCTGGGGTTTACACGGTAGAAACAAGGAACAGACTGTGGTGGATTATCCTCTGATGCCCCCACATTTTATATGCATGCACATATAAAATGCAGAAAAAAATTGAACGGAGGGCCACTTCTCCCTGAGTCCCAAAGGCCCCTTGGCTGTGAAAGTTAATTCCTACTAAGAAATATAGATATCTAGAAACAAAGTTTTATCTGCATTTTTGCAATTTTTCATCCTTAATACAAATGTTTCTAAGGAACCATGTGCTGAAATTGAGACGGAAGCTCACAGAACTGTCACTCACTGAAGAGATTTGCTCTGCTTGGCAAAGCCCCGGAGGGCAGAGTCAGAGCCAAGGGGAGGAAGTTTAAGAAATGTAAAATCTTGATTCTATTTAAGGAAGCACTTTCTAACAATCTGTGTTCTCCAAAAATGGAATTGGCCTTCTGTAGCAGTCTATGCATTCCAGCTGGGCTTGGGTGGCAATCTGTCAGGGACAGGGGAACAGGCCAGCACCAGGGTGGGGATGTGCTGGTTTGCTCTGTGACTTAGGAGTGTGGGACGAAATGAAGTGACCACACCCAGGGAAATCTGAACACTCTAGGCAAAGATGAGGCCTGGAGCCCCAACCTGAGGCCTTGTCTTTCCTCCTGAGAAAGTCAACAGGCAGCCGCTTGAGGGGGTACATGACCTCAGGAGGCTTACTTTTCCTACTTCCAAGATTCTTCACCAGGGAGCCCTTCTTCAGGCTGTGCATTTTGTGGTTTACAGAATTCTGATTTTTTTTTTCAGGCAAAATATGTCCAACAATGCTTATCATTATTACAGAGGGTGTGTTAGGAGATGGCTGGAAAGTCAGTCAAAAAGTCTCCAAACAACATTAAAGCACTGATCCATTCACCAACTCAGCTTTCTTTATCATCCGTAACTAAGTGGCCTAAGACTAGGGCAGTTCTTTTCAGTGACATTCTCAAGCAAGAAAAAGAATGCACAGGGGAGAGAATTCGGCGGAAAAAGACCTAGAATGCTAATAACAAATGGAATTTTTCCAACAGTCTCGGCAGAGTCTACACTGGCCACAGACATCCTGAGAAAAGTCCATATGCAGCACAAAATACCTCCCAATGATCGAAGGCTTCACCCACTGAACAGTGAGCACAGACCTTTAAGGACTGTACAAGGAGGAAGGAGGTGGGGCTTAAACACCCACCACATCCGGTGTGACTTTGTTTTCAGTTTTCCCCATCTCCACCCCTCTAACGAAATTAATCCTCTTCTAGTAACACAAAGAAAAGCCTACATATACTTGGCCTAGGTGATGATACTGGCTCACTTCCACAGCAAACGGGAAGTGACAAGCTCTGGCTACAAACACCTTTACACTTACCTGAGGAGGCAACAGCTATAAACTGTCAGTTCAGATCTGTTGTCCTTCCACAGAGCCTTCCTGATTACATTCCTGAGTAATCAGTAACCATAGTTAGTGGGCACTGGGTGCACACTCAGGTATGGCTGGCCACCACTGTGGTAGCATCTCTTGCTGGACCGGTGGCTATGGATTAATGTGGTAGGAATGCATCTTCTTATCTGGGTCCCTGTGTTGAATTTAATCCCCACTGAGAGTAGTAAGAAGAAAGAAACTGGTTCCTATCACACTGCTTAGAGGTAGGACCTTTGGGTGGTGAAGGGGACTAGATAGAAGGTGCGTAAGTGAATACTGGTGGCTTTACAGAGGAAACAATGTCAGAAAACACACAGTTTCTGACATCACACATAGACAGTTCTCTATCTCCCCCAGTCTCTGCCATATGATACTTGTACCACACTGAAACTTTGCCAAGAAGGCAATACACATACAGTCATTTGACTTGAAGTAAGCCAAATTAAGCCTTTTTATTGATAAAGCAACCCACTGTCAAGCAGTTTGTTACAGTGATAGGAAATGCACTCATACACCAGAGGCAGAAAGGAGGCATGAATGGGAAGGACCAGAGACTATCATAACTGAACAGGGCTTGTAGAACTGTCCACTTGCGAGGCTTCTGATGTCACATTGCTCATCACCCCAACTACACATCAACTAACTGCCTGAAACTGTGGTATAAAATATCACCTAAGACAAGAACAAACAAAAACAAAAACAGACCAAAATATACCTGTCTTCTCCTTCTGTGTGCACAAAGCCAATGCATGGGAGTTTGTAAGAGAACAGGGTTGGTGCACTGACAGGCAAAGTTATGAAACTTGTTGTGAGTCTAAGTCAGGGTCTTTGAGAGTTTGGATGCAAGGAAACAGCTGTTTAGGGGTCCATAGAACACAGAAGTGTTGATTTACCCAGGATCCTAAACTCTAGAAGTTACCCAGAAAATGATAAGTAGAGTCTTTAACTTGATCTTTGTACAAAACCCAAGTAGGAGGCTGTCAACATTAACACCGACCCCAACACAGACATACACACCATACCACACCACATATATACACACACTACACTCATACACATACACTATACCCACACCAAATCATATCACACCCCACATGCACCACACTTACACACACTATACCATACCCTACACAGCAAACCACATATACACACACAGTGCACATGCCATGTTCACACACAGCACACTCACACACAAAAAAAAGGGGGGGGGGAGATTAGAAAGTGGAAGAGTGCTTGCATAACAAGTGTGAGGCTCTAGGATTCAATATCAATAAAGCAAACACACACACACACACACACACACACACACACACACACACACACACAGCGATGACCTAGCTGTGCCAGGTGGGCTGTGGACACTCACCTAGCGTGTCCTTGAGATTCTTCACCAGGGAGCCTTTCTTCAGGCTGTTCTTGCGCTCCACATAGTTGGACGGCACGTAGCCCGTCCTGTTGGCTGCGTTCCTCACCCGCCACCAGGTCTTGGAGTCATCCAGCAGCCACAGTCTCTCGTTCTTCCTGATGTCGAGCTCCTGGTCCTGCTGGGCCGTGTAGTCCCACTTGGCTATGACAATGACTTCTTCTGTCATCTTTCATGGAGTCCTTCTGCCAGCAAAACATTTAAAGATGCTCATTAGCTACCTGAACGCCTTGTCCTCTGACAGACTTGAAAAATTAGACAATGACAGCTCCTGTGACTACACTGCCACTAGTCTCCTCTAGGCCCTTGAAACACTCATCCTTAAAATGACCTTCCAGCAAGCTCTGGTACTGCTGAGAATCAACATCTTGTAACCAAAGCCTACAGCCTCTCTCCCTGCACTAGATGAGCTACACATTTTACCGAAGCCAGATGCAAACTTAAAATACAAATCTTACAATGAAAGTGCTCATTTGACTAAACAGCACCAGCCCCTACAGCTGATAGGTTCACACTCCTGTCCTCAGCATATGCTCAAGGATCTGAAGCTATTTAGCAAATATAACTACTTCTGTACACTCAAATTCAAATTACTGTACTACTAATGCAACATGGTATCCTGCGACGGATGGTAAAATAGAGACAGAAAATTGGTGGAAACACTGTTGAAATGTAAACAAAGCCTGGGCAACAGCATAGTCCCCGTGTGAATTAGTTTTGACAACTCATGTAATATGTTAGCATTGGAGAAATTAGCTAAGGGGTATACAGGAATGTTCTGCACAAATAGCTCTACAACTCTCCTGTAAAAAAAAATGAAATTATTTTTGAAAACTGGTATCCACACAAAGCCTATATTTAGATATTTAGGCTACTTTATTCATAATTGCCCAAACTGGGAAACAACCATGACGTCCTACAGTAGGTGAGCAGATAAACCAACTGCCTACCCGAAAATGGAATATTTAAGCACTGGGGAAAGAGTGAGAGGAAATGCAGATGCCTTCTAGAAGTGAAAACAGGCTTTGAGGCCTGCTAGGCTGGGCATGCAGCTTTCGTGTTGGGGTTCCTCTGGGCAAACTTTATTGAAGAGCCTGGGAACCCTGTTCTCTGTGACTTTTGTGTCCATCCTTGCATCGCCCAGTATTAGCAAGATCCTCTACCCCATACCTGATCAGGTTCCTCTCACACCACCATGCTGCAGGTGATGTCTGGTCACCTGGCCTCTTTTAGCAAAAATCCTGTTAGGCCAGATGGGACCCCCCCACACACACACACTGCATTTCCTCCTCCCCTCTAGCTAGATGACCTCACACTTATCTTTATATGGGGAGCTGAATTCTGTCTTCCCAACTGAAAAACTCCCCTACAGTACCCGCTAAACAGTCTGCCTTGATATCTCCTAACTAGTTTTCGAATAGCAATTCCACTATATAACATTCTGGGTAAGGCAAAAAGAAAGAAAGAAAAAAATCCATGAAGACATGGGACTACTGGACACTTGGGGGTAGGAAAAGCAAGCAATGCAGAGAGACCGGTGAAGGCATGTAATTGAGAGTGTGTGTCAAGACACATCTGTGGTACAGATAGAAATACACATTAAAACTATGCCAAAAATACAGCTTATTAACATAACAGATACAACACAAATCTGAAGTCAATCTGGGAAGTAATAAATAGGTAAGAATACAACACATACAGGCCTTATCTACTTCAGCAATTCCACTCTTCTCAGGCAGAAGATGCATAAGGGTTTTGGTTTTTTGTTTTGTTTTGTTTTTGTTTTGCAGCAGAAAAGTCAGTATCCAATCCCTCTACTGATTTGAGATGCCCACAAATTACAGAAGGAACAATGACAAGATACTGGGCCCAAACCCCTTGGTCCTCCTGACAGAGTTCTGATCTCATACCATGAGTTCAGAGTTATAGAGGAACCCATGCATGTGATTCGTGGAGGCATGGATATGACACTTACTGCCATGTATAATACATGTCTTCTCACGTATTTCCACACGAGGAGATAAAAAATCATTCAGGAAGAAGAAAATGTATGTAAGCCGTGCACGCAATGTCCATAATGTCCAAGAGGGTGGAGTTTATACAAAGTTCAAAGTTCCTCTGAGAGCTGGAGACCTGCAATGGGGTCCCTAGTCCATACCGTGTGGCTCACACACACTGATTTCTCTGTAAGACGACACCTGTGAAAATCACCGAGGTGGACATCTCTTTTAACGTCAAGGGCAGGGACAACAGCAGAAAGAGAAATGGGGCTCGGAAGGCGATTCCCCTTCAACACCAGATTTGCCGCTCACTCATAGGATTCCCAAAATGACTTAAAATGGGAGCAGATCATCACTTCAATCAGTTGGTACCCAGCCAACCAAAGCTCTCTACTGAATGGCCTTCTACATCCACAGCAGCGACGGGAAGAGCAGGCGTTTGTTTCGGTGCAGGCTGAAGGCACAAAGCTTTATAAAAACACCTCTTCCTGCTAAGCCACAGCACAGGATACTGGAGAGGCTGGAAACACACAGTGTTTTGTAAGGAATATGGCGGGCACCAGGCACAACTAACCAAGAGAAAAGCCGCATGTGCTGCAGATGGCAAAACCGGACGCTCGGGGGCTCAGATGCTGGACATGGAGGTGCAAAATTTGGTGTTTATCTGGCTGGGCTCCAATCCTGTTTTTGTGGGATCTTTCCTTGCTATGCCTCAATTCTTATGCCCTACTCTGTGCCATCACATATTAAAAGTATTCGACTTATTCTTTTATTTTATGGGAGTTCACGGTGAAGATTTGTCTCCGGTTTTAGAAAAGGCTTTGGATTTCTGACCACCACTGAAACAGGACCATGATGACTTTCAAAGCCAGAATGAAGGCATTTTGCATTAAGAGATGGCCATGAGCCTATGGGGCCAGGGGTAAAACGTTACAGTTTAAGTGCTGTGTTTGGGTGTCAAGTTGACAAGGGGTGTACTTGTGGTGGCTACTTTAAACTGTCAACCTGAGTGGACAAAGGAAAAAAAAAACAAAAAAACAAAAAAAACAACCCACCTCAGAGCATTAATGAGGCACAGGGATATGTTGGGCACATTTGTGTTTTTCCAAAGAGATTTCTAGTTGAGGGAAGATCTACCCTGAATATGGGTGCCACCAATCCACGGCTGGCATCCTGGACTAAATACAAAGAGAAAAAGGAGAATGGCAGCTAAGTCCCAGCATTGTCTTCCCTCCTTCCTTTTCAGGTCACAAACCAAACTGCTTCCAATGCCCTAGCTTCCCTACCATGATGGACTGCCTGCGATCCTCTGAACTATGAAGCCAATTAAACCTTTTCTCTCTTGTGGGAGGCGGTTGCTTCCTGAGCCCTTCCTCTGGCAATTGTATCCAAGCCTACAGGAAAGGGCCAGGTACCAAGACACCCTCCCCCTCTCCATTTGTGCCTCCACCTTACCCCCTGTATAATTCTCAAGTGATTTTCATAGGAACCAAGACACAGAACCAAGACACAGAAAACTGAACCACTGACTGTCTCAAGGATACTCACTCTATAGGTCAACTCTCTTAGCATAAGCACAACGAAGTCAGACATTTCTTAAACTGTCAGTTGGGAACCCAGAAGGGTTGCATAAATCCTTCATGACACATGTGGCCACAATAAGAGGTTTCTGAATGTGCAACCAAAAAGGAAATAGGGTGAGGCGATCCACGCACAACTCCCTGCAGCCTTGGTTCTGCGCGGGCAACACACCACACAAACCCAATAAGGCAGCCCAAACCCTCAGCTCAACTGAACTGAGATATCTGTCCTGTCTGTACAGAGAATCTTCTGTTTTTAGAGAAATAGAATGGTTTAATTATTGAGGTTAGGGGGCACTAAACAGTCTCTTGCTGTCAGCCTCTCTGCATGCAAGTTCCAAATTAGTAGACTTTGGGTTGTAGGGTTATATCATGTTAGAACACTTGGTTTTTAAAACACTGAGTTGCTAACTTGAGCTTCATAAAAACACTGGTAATAAACCTAGGCTTGGTCATCCCAACAGAATCTCCAGCCAGAATTTCAGGCATGGCCCTACACATATTTCTGCTATTCTATACAATATATATGAAGCAACAAATCAACTTGGAAAAATGTTGAAGGTGGTCTTCACCCTGTAGAACCAAATATTGAGTAGAGGTTTAATTCTTTGTGTAAAAATAAAGAAGTCCATTATTATGCAAACTTGCTCTCCAGTGGCATGGGGTTGTAAATGAAGAGTTTAAGAAGCCCTGCTATGAGAAGTAAATGCTGAAACCTGATGGGCACATGACACCAGCAATTTAAGCCAGAGAACAGCCACCATTCTGGGCAGCATCTTTTAGGAGACTGAGATTCAGAGAGTGGTTTGTGTAACTACAGAACCAGGATCTTACCCAGAACCGTGGCTCCCAATCTGTTGGGCAACACAAACTGGAATCCATGGATGAAGGGGCTCCGGATACTCATAATCATCCTTGCTACTCTGAGGAGGAAACTCAGACAGATTTAAAGATGCTATACTGCAACCAAGAGATGAATTGGTCTCCAGACACTGGAGAAGACAGCACCCCTAGAGTCTCCAGGACATCCTGATTTCACTTAGGAGACTTGTATCAGACTCTGCCCTCTGAACCACAAGAGGAGGAGCAGACACTGTTTTAGGGCATGTGTACTGTGGCCATTTGCTCCTGCAGCAACAGGAAGCCGATCTCAGTAGCGAGTCTTTTCTTTGGAAAGGGGAGCTTCCTATGTTCTCCCCCATTTATTACAGTGTTCCTGGTCCTTGGTGCATGGTCTGTGAAAAAAAGCCCATTTGCATTCAAGAGACTGACTCATGAATGGGTCTTAGAAGCAACTAAAACTCTTGATTAACTTCTCAAGTTGTGTCTAGATGGACTTGCCAGATGCCAACTCATCTGACAGCACTTGGCAGGGCCTGTGGGTCTCCTGTCGGGGAACAGAAAGGCCAGTTGGTGGCTTTTTGCAGAGGTGTCGCTAATTACAGCTAATACACTTTAATCCTACCTAGGACACAATATGGGATCTAGTGGCTGTTCCAATTCTTACTAAGTTAATTACACTGTGACAATAGTCAAGGTCTTACCACCTCCCTAAAAGAGAAACGTACACCACATGTAAAAGAGAATGTACACAATAGACATTCC